ATTTGACATCACTGCGTGCATGCTTTGTAAATATTTACATTTCGTTGAATATACTCGTGTTGTGGGCAGTTGAAATAAAATATTTCGTTTCTTTCTTGTTTTGTGCTTGTCAAAACTAAGACGTATCACGGCTCGACATAATAATATAATGCCTCATTATCGTTCCCTTCGCCCTTCTCAAATATTGGAAGTGTTGCAAAATTTACCGGTCGACCAATCAGATTGTGAACCGACTGAAGAAGAGAGGCACATTTTTCATTTAGACTCAGAAAGTGATTACAATATTACACAAAATAGTGATTCTTCTAGCTTTTTTCCACAAAAGTTCGGTGTAGATTTTTACAGTTTATGGGTAACAAACCAGACAAGTTTGGAATAAAGTCTTGGCTTTGCGTTGATGTTGATTCAAAGTACTTGTGTAATGGTTTCCCATATTTAGGAAGAGATGAAAACCGTCCACAAAATCAAAGTTTAGGCGAGTCCGTTGTATTGCGACTACTGGACCCATACTTGAATACAGGTCGAAATATAACAACTGATAATTTTTTCACTAGTGTAAATTTAGCTAAAAAGCTAAAAAAAAACACGACGAGATATTCCAGCTACTATAAAAAATGCATCCCTTAGTTTATATGAAATACATATTCACAACTCTGAAACCTGCACACTTACAGTTTATCAAGGAAAACCGTCAAAATCAGTTATGATTCTAAGTTCACTTCACTCTAATGCATTAATTGATCCAGAAGAAGCAAAAAAGAAGCCGATCACGGTGAAGTTTTACAATGCTACGAAATTTGGAGTAGATGTTATTGATCAAATGGCCAAGAAATATAGTGTCAAAGCACCTTCTCGTCGTTGGCCCGTGCAAGTGTTTTATAATATTTTGGATTTGACAGCAATTAATTCTTGGATTTTGTACAAAAAACTATCCGAGAAAAAAAGAAGTTGCTTACTTTAGATACTTAAGTATAGAGTTGGTACAGCATTTTGAGTAATTCGTGTACTAGAAGAACGGTAAAAATCATTAAATTGTAAAAATTTTATGTAATTTTAAATCATTGCTCTTAATGTAGGAGTTATAACTTTAATTTCTTATATATTGTGAAATGTATTAAGACTTAGAATATATTTTAATTAAGGAATTAGTTGTTGTTTTTTCATTTTTATTTCTTGAAAAAAAAACCGAATAAACCTTCAAAGTAAACTGAAATGACGGAGGTATACCAAATGTCCTTATATACCAATTTTCCTTATAAATCAAAAGTCTTTATATACCAATTTTCCTTATATACCAATTTTCCCTATATACCATTTTTTTATATGCCAAATGTGCCATCCAAATATAACAAACTAGCTGACCCGGCGAACTTCGTACCGCCCTACAATCAAGAAATATCTGTTACCTTTTTATATAAATGAAGTTAATTACTTTATTAACTATTAATGACCCGACAGACAATGGTCTGTCTTCTTAACCGTGATTATTGAATTCTAAATGGTATATTAACAAATCAAAATTATTCTAATGCTTTAATCTAATTGGAACCTGGAAAAGAAGCTTGAAAATTACATTTCTCCTATATAGGTGTTGATCTAAGAGGACTGACTGAACTCTGTGAAGATTCACAGATAGTACGTTTATGTATTTTTAATGATACAAAGTATTGTACTACATACTGTCATTGTTATTTTATACTCAAATATAGCACGTTCAGTATACGATTATTATCATGAAAGGTATCTTGAAAATAGCAAAGCGGTGGAGGAATAAGGAATGAAAAAAAATAATAATATATACACACTATGTGGTTAATTAATATAAAATGAAGAGTATAAAAGTACATAGGATTTGTTCTGCATTGTGTATTGTTATTAATGCGTCATTCATTTCACGATATGGTGCTGGCATTCCTAACCTGATTAATGAATTACTACTCATGAGGTAACACATATCTTCGATCAAGAGTAAAGCACGATTATGTATCTCCTCATTCATCACAATATCGTGATTTCTGGAAATGACACGAATTTGATGTAAAATATCTTCTGACATATTATCCTTGTATTTGTGCAACAGGTTACGTGGGTTTGATGGAAAACATGTCGAAATAATGATAGCGAATAATGTGCGTATCTGACTTGGAGATGCAGAAATAATGGCTTCAGAGATTGTCGTATCCCAATGACTATCGTTTTCTAATAACTTCAGTTCTTCACATGCAGCACGATATGTTGGGCATATTACACCATTGACAGTTCGTAGTGACTCAAATGACGTTGGCCCACGCACATTTACCAGCAATAACCGCAAATAGAAACATTCATTATTCTTTGGATGAACTGTATACATACGACCAAGAGCATCAGTAGAACGCACATCTGGATACCCAGGAACCGCATCGCCTTGCTTCCGTCTTTGAAAATTCTTCGATGAAGCATTCCAAGTATAATAACGTGGCATCTCCGAGTAAAGCAAAGTTCTTGCAAACCGCTCGCTTTGGCAGATTGCAAAAAAACTGGTCAATGTAGTTGCTGGAGGTGTTTCAGCACGTTGCGTAGCATTCGAAGCCGTGAAATATACTCGTTGACCATTCTCCAGATGCACCGCCAAATGCGTAACAGTAGGATGACGTTCGTGAATGGGAAATGCAAATATACGCCAAATCGCTTCATTACAGTTCACATAACGACCAACTTGATAGCGTTAAATTTCATCGTTGGTATTCGAGGACTGTAGTCCAAAAACCGCCATATCACTGCCTTTCGTGACATATTTGCAAATATATTTTATGGACTTAACTGAATTGCAGTATTCAACGTTGCAATGTGTCTTGAACGTTTTAGAAATAAGTGGCGAATATGGAACAATCCAACTGTTGCCGATAACGAAATCCATGCTTTTCACTTTCGTTGTGACAGTTCGACCATTGTCATCTGGTGATCGACGCCGATAGAGCGGATAACCATCATTGCCAGTGACAGTTTCCGCCGTTAATTTCCGTGGATATCGTTTAGAGCACTTTCCATCGACCATGCAAGGTGATTGCGGATTGATGGCACCACACGGTCCATGAATCATATTAGTAGTAACAACATCATGTAGGTCTGGATCGACTTCATTATCAGGAATCTCGGCACATATGATATCATCTATTTGGTCAGGCTGAATTCTTTCCACTAACCAAATAAGAATCTATGCGTGCGGGAGGCCTCGCTTTTGCCATTCGATTGAATACATCCCGCATCGAGTATCTCCAAAGACGCGTTGTTTAACAATAAAGTTCATCAGGGATCGAATTTTTTGCCTGAATATACGTGCTGTGATGTCGTGTGTATCACTTGATGTTTGTCCGGGAAGCAGCAATTGAGTAATTTCTATCCATTTTGGATTACAGGTAAAGGTAATAAAGAGATCGGGCCGACCGTAATGACGAACATATGTCATTGCATCTTGTGCATATTCATGCATATGACGTGGACTACCAATGTATGTCGACGGCAGAATAGTTAATCGACCAACATTAACTGCATTTCCTTCAGTACTAACTGCATCACGTAAATGGATGTACTCCTCAGAACGCAGTTTGGCTTGGTTCAACCTAATGAATGTTAAACGTTAAGTTTCTATTTTTACATACATGTCAACGCAATACTGCTGAAACAATCGACGAAACCGCAGCAAATAGTTGTCAGCATTTTGACGAATCATCAAACGATATGCGTAATAATTCATTGAGCTAACTTTCTTTGTAGTTTCTTCACCTGAAATTAAAAATTTCATAATTAACCATTTCAAAAGCAAATTTTAAAGGCAAACAATACAGACATTAACCATTTTTTTAATAAGAATTATTTTAAATCAGTGTGTTTCACAAATAAATGTAATAAATTACAAAAATATAGATACTCACCATTCAATGGATTTTTCATTTTAATATTAAAATAATATCCATCTTCTCCTTGCCAAAACATCAGCGGGTATTGCAATGTGTCATATGATCTATCAGATATTTGTTGCAGTTGACCATTATCGCGACGTGTAAGCACAATATCGCGTTTTTCCAATTGTTCACCAACAATCAGGATAGCAACTTCGTTTACTGTTGGAGCATTAAATGTCCTTTCGTGTGTTCCAGATGGTCGTTTATCTGCTTTGATGACAACTTTATAGTCATCACTTGGCATGCGCTCTAAAGCACTCTTAAACAACCTGACCAACGCATGATGTTCATGAAGCAGACACTGCAAGTCTTCAAGAATTGGTCGCTTCATTCCTGCATTGATCTCTAGGCGTCGATCAAGTTGTTCTTCCATGTTGCCCATGAAATATATTTGTAAAAATTTATTCTGTGTATCTTCGAAAGGTAGTAATGATCCAATTCGATGATGAATCTGTCCTTGTATCTACAAAATAAAAACCAGACAGTATTAACTATGTTATAAACACTTTTATCGATCCGAGAGTAGAGTTCAGAATTAGCAAATATACTAAATACGTATCAATAGATAAAGTATTTAACTATATCAATATAAGTACAAAAATAAATACCTTAAATGTCGGATTAAATCCTCTTTCTTCGATAATATCTGCCCCAAATGACGTCATCTGGAAACAACCATTGTATTTTTGTGTATTTGCAAGAAAGTGGCGTGATTCTTGTGTTTCGCCACAAAGCAATGAATACAATGGCTCAGGTGGCGGAGTCAACAATGGCAATTTCACTTTACCATTAAGGCAGCATAATCCAAGGGTTTCTCCGGAAAACTTTAATGCACCACAATACTCGCAAACTACGTCCATTTGCCCAATGCAAACGCTAGGATGCAAGCTGTAATCATTGCTGCAATCGTATTGAAACACTGCTCGATTCAAATCAGCACTTGATAAATATCTTGTTCTGCGTCGCAAATTATCTATCTGTTGACCTCTGTTATTCGCTCGAAGATTCTGCATTGCCAACCGAGCTGTTTCACGGGCTGCTTCTCTTTGCTCTCGTGATTGAGAAGCACGAAGCCGAGCCATACTATCGCGGTGCTGTTCACGTGCAATTTCTTGTTCTTCTTGAGTCCTTTGATTTGCATTATTTCGTGTTCTTCTTGTATTACGACTTTCTCGGGAAAGATTAGATCGTCTTGGTCGCGGCATTATTAATTAAACTTTACTTCACCTAAACTCTTAGTTTCAACAATACCGAGTTTTATATAGTTCACTTCACTTTTTACGAATGGGTAATGATACTATCATTACATTATAATTATTGTTAATTATTTATTTAATAGAAATATTTTTATTATTGATTTCTCACAAATATCAAATTGTCATCCATACGTCATTACATAGCCGTCATTTGCGTTTTTTTATTCCAATTTTGATTCTTTTTTGTCATGCTACGTTTTATAGTAACTGACATTTCGTGTCAAATCCCACGGGAATGCTGTCGAACGGGATAAAAAGTATCCTATTGCAATTTCCTGGCTCTAAACTACCTCCCTGTCAATTTTCAGCTAAATCGGTTCAGCCATTCTTGAGTTATAAGTGCAGTCACTAACACGACTTTCTTTTATATATATAGATATGCCATCACCGTCACCATCTCCATCATCTCCATCATCCCCATCACCCCCATCATCCCCATCATCCCTATCATCTCCATCATCTCCATCATCCATATCACCCCCATCATCCCCATCACCCCAATCAACCACATCACCCCCATCTTCCCTACACCCCCATCATCCCAATCATCTCCATCATCTCATCACACCAATCATTTCCATCATCCCCATCACCCCCTTCATCCCCACCATCTCCATCATCCCCATCACACCTGTCATCCCCATCATCCACATCACCCCCATAACCCCCATCCTCCCTACACCCCCATCATCCCAAGCATCTCCATCATCTCCATCATCCCCATCATTTCCATCATCTCCATCATCCATATCATCCCCATCTCCCCATTCATCCCCATCATCTCCATCATATCCATCATCCCCATCATCTCCATCATCCACATCATCCACATCACCCCCATCATGCCCTTCATACCCATCACCCCCTTTATCCCCATCACACCAATTTTCCCCATCATCTTCATCATCTCCATCATCCACATCATTCACATCATCCACATCGTCTCCATCATCCACATCACCCCCCTCATCCCCATCATCTCCATCATCTCCATCATCCCCATCACACCAATCATTTCCATCATCTCCATCACATCCTCATCTCCCCCATCATCCCCATCATCCACATCACCCCCATCCTCCCTACACCCCCATCATCCCAAGCATCTCCATCATCTCCATCATCCCCATCATCTCCATCATCCACATCATCCCCATCTCCCCATTCATCCCCATCATCTCCATCATATCCATCATCCCCATCATCTCCATCATCCACATCACCCCCATGGTCCCCATCAATCACATCACCCCCCTCATCCCAATAACCCCATCATCTCCATCATCCCCATCACACCCATCATCCTCATCATCCACATCATTCTCCTCATCCCTATCATCATCATCCCCATCACCCCAATCATCCACATCTCCTCCATCATCCCCATCATCCACATGACCCCCATCTTCCCTACACCTCCATTATCCCAAGCATCTCCATCATCTCCATCATCCCCATCACACCCATCATCCCCATCACCCCCTTCATCCCCATCACCCCCATCATCCCCATCATCCCTATCATCTCCATCATCTCCATCATCTCCATCATCTCCATCATCCCTATCATCTCCTTCACCCCCTTCATCCCCATCACCCCCATCATCCCCATCATCCCTATCATCTCCATCATCTCCATCAACTCCATCATCCCCATCATATCCATCATCCCCATGATCTCCATTATCTCCATCACCCTCTCAATCCTCATCACCTCCATCATCAACATCACCCCCATCATCCCCATAACCCCATCATCTCCATCATCCCCATCACACACATCATCCTCATCATCCACATCATTCTCCTCATCCCCATCATCATCATACCCATCACCCCAATCATCCACATCTCCTCCATCATCCCCATCATCCACATGACCCCCATCTTCCCTACACCTCCATTATCCCAAGCAACTCCATCATCTCCATCATCCCCATCACACCCATCATCCCCATCACCCCCTTCATCCCCATCACCCCCATCATCCCCATCATCCCTATCATCTCCATCATCTCCATCATCTCCATCATCTCCATCATCCCCATCACCTCCTTCACTCCCTTCATCCCCATCACCCCCATCATCCCTATCATCTCCATCATCTCCATCAACTCCATCATCCCCATCATATCCATCATCCCCATGATCTCCATTATCTCCATCACCCTCTCAATCCTCATCACCCCCATCATCTCCATCATCCACATCACCCCCATCATCCCCATCATTCACATCACCCCCATCATCCCCATAACCCCATCATCTCCATCATCCCCATCATCCACATGACCCCCATCTTCCCTACACCTCCATTTTCCCAAGCATCTCCATCATCTCCATCATCCCCATCACACCCATCATCCCCATCACCCCCTTCATCCCCATCACCCCCATCATCCCCATCATCCCCATCATCCCTATCATCTCCATCATCTCCATCATCTCCATCATCCCCATCATCTCCATCATCTCCTTCACCCCCTTCATCCCCATCACCCCCATCATCCCCATCATCCCTATCATCTCCATCATCTCCATCAACTCCATCATCCCCATCATATCCATCATCCCCATGATCTCCATTATCTCCATCACCCTCTTAATCCTCATCACCCCAATCATCTCCATCATCAACATCACCCCCATCATCTTCATCATCTCCATCATCCACATCATCCACATCATCTCCATCGTCTCCATCATCCACATCACCCCCCTCATCCCCATCATCTCCATCACACCCATCATCCCCATCATCTTTATCATCTCCATCATCCACATCATCCACATCATCCCCATCACTCCATTCATCCCCATCATCTCCATCATCCCCATCACACCCATCATCTTCAACATCCACATCATTCTCCTCATCCCCATCATCATCATCCCCATCATCTCCATCATATCCATCATCCCCATCATCTACATCATCCACATCATCCACATCACCCCCATCATCCCCATCATCCCTATCATCTCCATCATCTCCATCATCTCCATCATCTCCATCATCCCCATCATCTCCATCACACCCATCATCCCCATCATCTTTATCATCTCCATCATCCACATCATCCACATCATCCACATCATCCCCATCTCTCCATTCATCCCCATCATCTCCATCATCCCCATCACACCCATCATCTTCAACATCCACATCATTCTCCTCATCCCCATCATCATCATCCCCATCATCTCCATCATATCCATCATCCCCATCATCGACATCATCCACATCACCCCCATCATGCCCTTCATCCCCAGCACCCCCTTTATCCCCATCACACCAATCTTCCCCATCATCTTCATCATCTCCATCATCCACATCATCCACATCATCCACATCATCCACATCATTCACATCGTCTCCATAATCCACATCACCCCCCTCATCCCCATCATCTCCATCATCTCCATCATCTCCATCATCCCCATCACACCAATCATTTCCATCATCTCCATCACATCCTCATCTCCCCCATCATCCCCATCATCCACATCACCCCCATCCTCCCCACCATCTCCATCATCCCCATCACACCTGTCATTCCCATCATCCACATCACCCCCATAACCCCCTTTATCCCCATCAACCCAATCATCCCTATCATCCCCATCACCCCCATCATATCCATCATCCCCATCATCCCCTTTATCCCATCACCCCCAACATCCACATCACCCCAATCATCCCCATCATCCCAATCAAATCAATCATCTCCATCATCTCCATCATCCCCATTACTCCCATCATCCCCATCACCCCCTTCATCCCCACCATCTCCATCATCCCCATCACACCTGTCATCCCCATCATCCCCATCATCTCCATCATCCCCATCATCTCCATCATCTCCATCATCCATATCATCCCATCTCCCCATTCATCCCCATCATCTCCATCATATCCATCATCCCCATCATCTCCATCATCCACATCATCCACATCACCCCCATCATGCCCTTCATCCCCATCACCCCCTTTATCCCCATCACACCAATCTTCCCCATCATCTTCATCATCTCCATCATCCACATCATCCACATCGTCTCCATCATCCACATCACCCCCCTCATCCCCATCATCTCCATCATCTCCATCATCCCCATCACACCAATCATTTCCATCATCTCCATCACATCCTCATCTCCCCCATCATCCCCATCATCCACATCACCCCCATCCTCCCTACACCCCCATCATCCCAGGCATCTCCATCATCTCCATCATCCCCATAATCTCCATCATCCACATCATCCCCATCTCTCCATTCATCCCCATCATCTCCATTATCCCCATCACACCCATCATCTTCAACATCCACATCATTCTCCTCATCCCCATCATCATCATCTCCATCATCCACATCATCCACATCATCCACATCATCCACATCGTCTCCATCACCCCCTTCATCCCCATCACCCCCTTCATCCCCATCACCCCCATCATCTCCATCATCCCAATCATCCCCATCATCTCCATCACACCCATCATCCCCATCACCCCCATCAACCCAATCATCCCCATCAGCCCCATCGTCTCCATTATCTCGATCATCTCCATCATCCCCATCACACCCATCATCCCCATCACCCCCTTCATCCCCATCATCTCCATCATCAACATTACCCCCTTCGTCCCCATCATCTCCATCATTTCCATAATCCACATCATCCACATCACCCCTTCATCTCTATCATTCCCATCATCCCCATCATCTCCATCATCTCCATCACCCCCTTCATCCCCATCATCCCTTTTATCCCCATCACCCCCAACATCCACATCACCCCCATCATCTCCATCACCCCTTCATCCCCATCGCCCCCATCAACCCCATCATCTCCTTCACCCCCTTCATCCCCATCACCCCTATCATACCCATCACCCCCTTCATCAACATCACCCCCATCATCCCCATCATCTCCATCACACCCATCATCCCCATCACCCCCATCAACCCAATCATCCCCATCAGCCCCATCGTCTCCATTATCTCGATCATCTCCATCATCCCCATCACACCCATCATCCCCATCACCCCCTTCATCCCCATCATCTCCATCATCAACATTACCCCCTTCGTCCCCATCATCTCCATCATTTCCATAATCCACATCATCCACATCACCCCTTCATCTCTATCATTCCCATCATCCCCATCATCTTCATCATCTCCATCACCCCCTTCATCCCCATCATCCCTTTTATCCCCATCACCCCCAACATCCACATCACCCCCATCATCTCCATCACCCCTTCATCCCCATCGCCCCCATCAACCCCATCATCTCCTTCACCCCCTTCATCCCCATCACCCCTATCATGCCCATCACCCCCTTCATCAACATCACCCCTATCATCCCTTATCAGTTTTTTTTCATGTTATTAATACCTAACAGTGACTTCCGGCAGAAAAGTAATTTTTACTGAATTAAACACTGTCATTCTTATATTACATAAAAAACTATAAACGACTTTTTTTGGTTTGTAGTTATCTAGTGAAATTATAATCTCTGCATATTTAGAACACTTTGTGTTTGTTTTACCCATGTAAAGAGGTGACACAAGAAGTTATATTGCGATACTGTTTGTAGGCACTTTTCTTTATTTTAATAAAAAAGGTTATAAAGACCGCACATTATAAATCTACCAAATCTATATACCATGTAAGTATATAAAAATGTTAAGATGACTTGTATACCTATTTCATTATATTCAATTAAATCTTTTTTTTTTATTTTTAATTTTGAGCACCAATTTCTCAAGTAAAATAATAATAATGTAAAATAGTATCTATATATATAAAATATAATTGATTATTTATATTTTTTTTATATTAGTAGTATGTTTTGTGTGCCTATAACTACTTGGGAAGTTGCTTACTTTAGATACTTAAGTATAGAGTTGGTACAGCATTTTGAGTAATTCGTGTACTAGAAGAACGGTAAAAATCATTAAATTGTAAAAATTTTATGTAATTTTACATCATTGCTCTTAATATAATGTAGGAGTTATAACTTTAATTTCTTATATATTGTGAAATGTATTAGGACTTAGAATATATTTTAATTAAGGAATTAATTGTTGTTTTTTTCATTTTTATTTGTTGAAAAAAAAAACCTAATAAACCTTCAAAGTAAACTGAAATGACGGAGGTATACCAAATGTCCTTATATACCAATTTTCCTTATAAATCAAAGGTCTTTATATACCAATTTTCCTTATATACCAATTTTCCCTATATACCATTTTATTTATATGCCAAATGTGCCATCCAAATATAACAAATATGCCATCACCGTCACCATCTCCATCATCTCCATCATCCCCATCACCCCCATCATCCCCATCACATCATCATCTCCATCATCTCCATCATCCCCATCGCCCCCATCAACCCCATCATCTCCTTCACCCCCTTCATCCCCATCACCCCTATCATGCCCATCACCCCCTTCATCAACATCACCCCTATCATCCCTTATCAGTTTTTTTCATGTTATTAATACCTAACAGTGACTTCCGGCAGAAAAGTAATTTTTACTGAATTAAACACTGTCATTCTTATATTACATAAAAAACTATAAACGACTTTTTTTGGTTTGTAGTTATCTAGTGAAATTATAATCTCTGCATATTTAGAACACTTTGTGTTTGTTTTACCCATGTAAAGAGGTGACACAAGAAGTTATATTGCGATACTGTTTGTAGGCACTTTTCTTTATTTTAATAAAAAAGGTTATAAAGACCGCACATTATAAATCTACCAAATCTATATACCATGTAAGTATATAAAAATGTTAAGATGACTTGTATACCTATTTCATTATATTCAATTAAATCTTTTTTTTTTTATTTTTAATTATGAGCACCAATTTCTCAAGTAAAATAATAATAATGTAAAATAGTATCTATATATATAAAATATAATTGATTATTTATATTTTTTTTATATTAGTAGTATGTTTTGTGTGCCTATAACTACTTGGGAAGTTGCTTACTTTAGATACTTAAGTATAGAGTTGGTACAGCATTTTGAGTAATTCGTGTACTAGAAGAACGGTAAAAATCATTAAATTGTAAAAATTTTATGTAATTTTACATCATTGCTCTTAATATAATGTAGGAGTTATAACTTTAATTTCTTATATATTGTGAAATGTATTAAGACTTAGAATATATTTTAATTAAGGAATTAATTGTTTTTTTTTCATTTTTATTTGTTGAAAAAAAAAACCTAATAAACCTTCAAAGTAAACTGAAATGACGGAGGTATACCAAATGTCCTTATATACCAATTTTCCTTATAAATCAAAGGTCTTTATATACCAATTTTCCTTATATACCAATTTTCCCTATATACCATTTTATTTATATGCCAAATGTGCCATCCAAATATAACAAATATGCCATCACCGTCACCATCTCCATCATCTCCATCATCCCCATCACCCCCATCATCCCCATCACCCCATCATCTCCATCATCTCCATCATCCCCATCACCCCCATCATCCCCATCATCTCCATCACCCCCTTCATCCCCATCACCCCCATCATCCCCATCATCCCCATCATCTGAAATGACATCATCCCCATCATCCTCCATCATCCCCATCATCTCCATCATCCCCATCCCATCATCCCCATCCCCATCATCCCAATCATCATCTCCATCATCTCCATCATCATCCATCATCCCCATCATCTCCATCATCCCCATCATCTCCATCATCCCACATCATCCCCATCATCCCCATCATCTCCATCATCCCCATCATCATCATCCCCATCATCCCCATCATCCCCATCATCCCCATCATCCCCATCATCTCCATCATCTCATCATCATCCCCATCATCCCCATCATCCCCAATCCATCATCCCATCATCTCCATCATCCCCATCATCCCCATCATCCCCATCATCCCCATCACCCCCATCATCCCCATCATCCCCATCATCCCCATCATCTCATCATCATCCCATCATCTCCATCACCCCCATCATCCCCATCATCCCCATCATCTCCATCATCCCCATCATCCCCATCATCCCATCATCTCCCATCCATCTCCATCACCCCCATCATCCCCATCATCCCCATCACCCCCATCATCCCCATCATCTCCATCATCCCCATCATCCCCATCATCCCCATCATCCCCATCATCATCCCATCATCTCCATCATCCCCATCATCCATCCATCATCATCCTCACCCCCTTCATCCCATCATCCCCATCATCCCCATCATCCCCATCATCTCCATCATCTCCATCATCCCCATCATCTCCATCATCTCCATCATCTCCATCATCTCCATCATCTCCATCATCCCCATCATCCCCATCACCCCCATCATCCCATCCCCATCATGCCCATCATACCCCCATCACCCCCATCATCCCCATCATCTCCATCATCCCATCATCTCCATCATCATCCATCATCCCCATCACAATCATCATCTCCATCACCCCATCATCCCCATCACCCCCATCATATCATCCCATCATCCCCATCATCCCCATCATCCCCATCATCCCCATCATCTCCATCATCCTCCATCACCCCCATCATCCCCATCATCCCCATCAACCTCTTCATCCCCATCACCCCCATCATCCCCATCATCATCCCCATCAGCCCCATCATCCCCATCACCCCCATCCCATCATCTCCATCATCCCCATCATCATCATCTCCATCATCTCCCCATCACCCCCATCCCCATCATCCCATCATCTCCATCATCCCCATTCACCCCCTTCGTCATCCCCCATCATCTCCATCATCTCCATCATCCCCATCATCCCCATCACCCCCCATCATCCCATCATCTCCATCATCATCATCCCCATCATCCCCATCATCCCCATCATCTCCATCCCCATCATCCCTTTCATCCCCATCATCCCAATCCCATCATCCCCATCACCCCAATCATCCCCATCATCCCCATCATCCCCATCATCCCCATCATCCCCATCATCCCCATCACCCCCATCATCCCCATCACCCCTTCATCCCCATCATCCCCTATCATCCCCATCACCCATCTTCATCCCCATCACCCCTATCATCCCTTATCAGTTTTTTTTCGGGTTATTAATACTTAATAGTGACTTCCGGCAGAAAAGTAATTTTTACTGATTTAAACACTGTCATTCTTATATTACATAAAAAACAATAAACGACTTTTTTTTGGTTTGTACATAGTTATCCAGTGAAATTATAATCTCTGCATATTTAGAACACTTTGTGTTTGTTTTACCTATGTCAAGAAGTGACACAAGTAGTTATATTGCGATACTGTTTGTAGGCACTTTTCTTTATTTAGATAAAAAAGGTAATAAAGACCGCACATTATAAATCGATCAAATCTATATACCATGTAAGTATATAAAAATGTTAAGATGACTTGTATACCTATTTCATTATATTCAATTTAATCATTTTTTTTTAAATTTTTAATTATGAGCACCAATTTCTAAAGTAAAACAATAATAATGTAAAATATTATCTATATATATAAAATATAATTGATTATTTATATTTTTTTTATATAAGTAGTATGTATTGAGTGCCTATAACTACTTGGGAAGTTGCTTTCTTTAGATACTTAAGTATAGAGTTGGTACAGCATTTTGAGCAATTCGTGTACTAGAAGAACGGTAAAAATCATTAAATTGTAAAAATTTTATGTAATTTTAAATTATTGCTCTTAATATAATGTAGGAGTTATAACTTTAATTTCTTATATATTGTGAAATGTATTAAGAATTAGAATATATTTTAATTAAGGAATTAATTGTTGTTTTTTCATTTTTATTTGTTGAAAAAAAAAAACCTAATAAACCTTCAAAGTAAACTGAAATGACGGAGGTATACCAAATGTCCTTATATACCAATTTTCCTTATAAATCAATTTTCCCTATATACCATTTTTTTATATGCCAAATGTGCCATCCAAATATAACAAATATGCCATCACCGTCACCATCTCCATCATCTCCATCATCCCCATCACCCCCATCATCCCCATCATCCCAATCATCTCCATCATCTCCATCATCTCCATCATCTCCATCATCTCCATCATCTCCATCATCTCCATCATCCACATCACCCCCATCATCCCCATCACCCCATCATCTCCATCACCTCCATCATCCCCATCACCCCAATCATCCACATTTCCTCCATCATCCCCATCATCCCCATCATCCCCGTCATCCCCATCACCCCCATAATCTCCATCATCTCCATCACCCCCTTCACCCCCATCACCCCAATCATCCCCATCATCTCCATCATCTCCATCATCCATCATCCCCATCATCCCCATCATCTCCATCATCTCCATCAGCTCCATCACCCCATCATCCCCATCATCCCCATCATCCCTCATCTCCATCACCCCCATCATCCCTATACACCCCATCATCCATATCATCCCTATCATCTCAATCATCTCCATCATCCCCATCATCTCCATCATCTCCATCAACCTCTTCATCCCCATCACCCCCATCATCTCCATCATCTCCATCAGCCCCATCATCCCCATCACCCCTATCATCTCCATCATCTCCATCATCATCATCATCCCCATCAAATCCATCATCTCCATCATCTCCATATTCCCCATTACAACCATCATCCCCATCACCCCCTTCATCACCATCATCTCCATCATCCCCTTCACCCCCATCACCCTAATAATCCCCCTCATCTCCATCACCCTCTTCATCCCCATCACCCCCATCATCTCCATCATCTCCATCAGCCCCTTCATCCCCATCATCCCCATCATCCCCATCATCCACATCACCCCCATAACTCCCTTTATCCCCATCAACCCAATCATCCCTATCATCCCCATCACCCCCATCATATCCATCATCCCCATCACACCTGTCTTCCCCATCATCCCCATCATCTCCATCATCCCCATCATCCCCATCACCCCCTTCATCCCCATCATCTCCATCATCCCCATCACACCAATCATTTCCATCATCTCCATCACCCCCTTCATCCCCATCACCCTCTTCATCCCCATCACCCCTATCATCCCTTATCAGTTTTTTTTCGGGTTATTAATACAGTAGGACCTCGATTATCCGGACTAATTGTTGTCGGTAGGCATCCGGATAATTGAAAGTCTGGATAATCCAATATATGAAGAAAAACGGGCTTTTTGCATATGTACATATGTGGTCTGTACCACACATATGTAATGTAGGTGTGTTTATTAAAAAACAACAAATACATATGAGCGAAAATCAACGTTTATTAAGAAATTGTACATAATGTACGTATAAGTGTTATAAGTAGGGCCCGGATTAATATGTAAATACATATTTTTAATTTACGCGATTTTCGGTCTAGAATGTGTTTTTTACATGGATTGTCATATTTAGACTGTGAAAAACCAACTTTTATTTTCCATATTTTACCATATTTCAAAGTTAAGTCCATATTTTACAAGAAAATGTCACAATCATCCATATATTCACAAAAAAAAAAACAATAAAATAAAGGATTTAAAACGCTAAAAAATTAACAAAATTCTGTGCGAAAGTTTCGAGGGCTGTAGACATGGCTTACACAATTACTGAATTAAGTATGCTTAAGTATGCATCCATCACGTCATGTGAGTGGAGAGATCATACAGCAAATATAATGCTATATTTCGACCAAATGGTCAGTTTTCATTTTGATAATTTAAAGAAGGACGTCATTGTGTATTGCAACCAATTTGATAAGGCTAGTGTAATGGAAGTTGAATAAAACTGTTATTTTTTGTTGAAATAAATATTTCACTCCTTTTTTTCATCGTTTTTTAAATGTTTCTTAACGATGTACGTCACGAGTGACCCTTTCTTATAGTAAAACAATGTTTATTATGAAATTTATTAATTTTAATTTCTTAATTTTAATTATGAAATTTCTTAATTTTATACTCCATATTTTTTCCATATTTTTTGATTTTTTCGTCCATATTTTATGTACATATTTTAGATTTTTTAATACATATTTATCCGGGCCCTAGTTATAAGTGGCGTGGCGTTATGCAAGTTCTGACATGTTAATGTTAGAATAAACTCGTCGCGATTGGCAGTCCGGATAATCGCGAATTCGGATAACCGAGGTCCGGATAAGCGGGGTCCTACTGTACTTAATAGTGACTTCCGGCAGAAAAGTAATTTTTACTGATTTAAACACTGTCATTCTTATATTACATAAAAAACAATAAACGACTTTTTTTTGGTTTGTAGTTATCCAGTGAAATTATAATCTCTGCATATTTAGAACACTTTGTGTTTGTTTTACCTATGTCAAGAAGTGACACAAGTTATATTGCGATACTGTTTGTAGGCACTTTTCTTTATTTAGATAAAAAAGGTAATAAAGACCGCACATTATAAATCGATCAAATCTATATACCATGTAAGTATATAAAAATGTTAAGATGACTTGTATACCTATTTCATTATATTCAATTTAATCATTTTTTTTAAATTTTTTATTATGAGCACCAATTTCTAAAGTAAAATAATAATAATGTAAAATATTATCTATATATATAAAATATAATTGATTATTTATATATTTTTATATTAGTAGTATGTATTGTGTGCCTATAACTACTTGGGAAGTTGCTTACTTTAGATACTTAAGTATAGAGTTGGTACAGCATTTTGAGCAATTCGTGTACTAGAAGAACGGTAAAAATCATTAAATTGTAAAAATTTTATGTAATTTTAAATCATTGCTCTTAATATAATGTAGGAGTTATAACTTTAATTTCTTATATATTGTGAAATGTATTAAGAATTAGAATATATTTTAATTAAGGAATTAATTGTTGTTTTTTCATTTTTATTTGTTGAAAAAAAAAAAAACCTAATAAACCTTCAAAGTAAACTGAAATGACGGAGGTATACCAAATGTCCTTATATACCAATTTTCCTTATAAATCAAAGGTCTTTAAATACCAATTTTCCCTATATACCATGTTTTTATATGCCAAATGTGCCATCCAAATATAACAAATATGCCATTACCGTCACCATCTCCATCATCTCCATCATCCCCATCACCCCCATCATCCCCATCATCCCAATCATCTCCATCATCTCCATCATCTCCATCATCCTCATCACACCCATCATCCTCATCAGACACATCATTCCCCTCATCATCAACCCCATCATCCCCATCACCCCAATCATCCACATCTCCTCCATCATCCCCATCATCCACATCACCCCATCTTCCCTACACCCCCATCATCCCAATCATCTCCATCATCTCCATCATCCCCATCATCTCCATAATCTCCATCATCATCATCCCCCCATCTCCCCATTCATGCCCATCATCCCCATAATCTCCATCATCTCATCACATCCATCATCCTCATCATCCACATCATTCCCCTCATCCCCATCATCATCATCTCCATCACCCCCATCATCCAAATCAACCCCATCACCCCAATCATCCACATCTTCTCCACATCCACATCATCCCCCTCATCCCCATCAACTCCATCACACCCATCATCCCTATCATCTTTATCATCTTCATCATCATCATCCCATCATCCCCATCATCATCCATCATCTCCATCATCTCCATCATCCCCATCACATCCCCATCATCCCCATCATCCCCCATCATCCCATATCATCCCATCATCTCCATCATCTCCATCATCTCCATCATCATCCCATCACCCCCATCATCCCCATCATCCCCCATCCCCATCCCCATCATCCCCATCATCCCATCATCCCCATCATCCCCATCATCTCCATCCCCATCATCCCCATCATCACCCCCTTCATCCCCATCACCCCCCCCATCATCCCCATCACCCCCATCATCCATCATCATCCCATCATCCCCATCCCCATCATCTCCATCATCCCCATCATCCCCATCATCCACATCACCCCCATAACCCTCTTTATCACCATCAACCCCATCATCCCTATCTTTCCCATCACCCCCATCATATCCATCATCCCCATCATCCCTTCATCCCCATCACCCCAACATCCCCATCATCTCCATCATCTCTCATCATCTCCATCACCCTCCATCCATCATCTCCACGAGCCCCTTCATCCCCATCACCCCCATCATCTCCATCATCTCCATCATTCCCATCATCCCATCGCCCCCATAACCCTCTTCATCCCCATCATCTCCATCATCCCCATCATCCCCATCATCCCCATCATCCCCCATAACCCCCTTCATCCCCATCATCCCCATCACCCCCATCATATCCATCATCCCCATCATCCCCTTTATCCCCATCCCCCCCAACATCCCCATCACCCCCATCATCATCCCCATCCCATCATCCCCATCATCTCCATCATCCCCATCATCCCCATCATCCCCATCACCCCCATCATCTCCATCATCTCCATCACCCCCTTCACCCCCTTCACCCCCTTCACCCCCATCATCCCCATCATCTCCATCATCTCCATCATCTCCATCATCATACCCATCATCCCCCCGGATCATCTCCATCACCCATCATCTCCATTATCTCCATCATCCCCATCATCCCCATCATCCCCATCATCCCCCCCCATCATCTCCATCATCCCCATCATCCACATCATCCCCCATCAACCCCCCCCATTATCCCCATCAACCCAATCATCCCCATCATCCCCCATCACCCCCATCATATCCATCATCCCCATCATCCCCTTCATCCCCATCACCCCCATCATCCCCATATCATCCCCATCATCATCCCCATCATCTCCATCATCCCCATCATCCATCATCCCCATCATCATCCCCCCATCATCCCCATCAACCCCCCATCATCCCCATCATCCCCATCATCCCCATCATCCCCATCATCCCCATCATCCCCATCATCCCCATCATCCCCCCCCATCATCCCCATCATCCCCATCATCTCCATCATCCCCCATCATCCCCATCATCCCCATCACCCCCATCATCATCCATCATCCCCATCATCCCCATCATCCCCATCATCCCCATCATCCATCATCCCCATCCCCATCATCCCCATCATCCCCATCCATCCCCATCATCCCCATCATCCCCATCATCCCCATCATCTCCATCATCTCCATCATCCCCATCATCCCCATCATCCCCCATCATCCCCATCATCCCCATCATCCCCATCATCCCCATCATCCCCATCCCCATCATCCCATCATCCCCATCATCCCCATCATCCCCATCATCCCCATCATCCCCATCATCATCCCCATCATCCCCATCATCCCCATCATCCCCATCATCCCCATCATCCCCATCATCCCCATCACCCCCCATCATCCCCATCATCCCCATCATCCCCATCATCTCCATCATCCCATCATCCCATCATCCCCATCATCCCCATCACCCCCATCATCCCCATCACCCCCATCATCCCCATCATCCCCATCATCCCCATCATCTCCATCACACCCATCATCCCCATCATCTCCATCATCCCCATCACACCCATCATCCCCATCATCCCCATCATCCCCATCATCCCCATCATCATCATCCCCCATCATCCCCATCATCCCCATCATCCCCATATCCCCATCCCCCCATCCCCCCCCATCATCCCCATCATCCCCATCATCCCCATCATCCCCATCATCCTCATCATCCCCATCATCCCCATCCCCATCATCCCCATCATCCTCCATCCCCATCATCCCCATCATCCCCATCATCCCCATCATCCCCATCATCCCCATCATCCCCATCATCTCCATCATCCCCATCATCCCCATCATCCCCATCATCATCATCTCCATCATCCCCATCATCCCCATCATCTCCATCATCTCCATCCATCATCACCCCCATCATCCCCATCATCCCCATCATCCCCATCATCCCCATCATCTCCATCATCTCCATCATCCCCATCATCCCCATCATCCCCATCATCATCCATCATCTCCATCATCCCATCATCCCCATCATCCCCATCATCTCCATCATCTCCATCATCCCCATCATCCCCATCACCCCCATCATCTCCATCATCCCCATCATCCCCATCATCACCCCCCATCATCCCCATCATCCCCCACACCCATCATCTCCATCATCTCCATCATCAACCCTCAATCCCATCACCCCCATCATCTCCATCATCCCCATCACCCCCATCATCCCATCATCTCCATCATCCCCATCATCCCCATCATCCCCATCATCTCCATCATCCCATCATCTCCATCATCTCCATCATCCCCATCATCTCCATCATCCCCATCATCATCCCCATCATCCCCCATCATCCCCATCATCCCCATCATCCCCATCATCCCCATCATCCCATCATCCCCATCATCCCCACCCATCATCTCCATCATCCCCATCATCCCCATCACCCCCATCATCATCATCCCTCCATCATCATCATCATCTCCATTACTCTCCATCATCCCCATCATTCCCCATCCCCATCACCCCATCATCCCATCATCCCCATCACCCCCATCATCCCCATCACCCCCTTCATCCACGTCATCCCCATCACCTCCATCATCTCCATCACTCCCTTCATCCCCATCACCCCTATCATCCCCATCATCCCCATCAACCCCATCTGTCAAAAAAAAAGAGAAATGTCTTCGTTTTTTTTTTTAGATTATTTTAAGAGTGAATGTCTTGTTCATAGTTCTGTGCCTCTCCCCTTATTACATGTTTGAAAAGATATACGGCGGAAGGAACGTTTCAAGATTTTCATAAAAATCATAAAAAATATCAACTTTACACATTTGTTCAAATTATGTGTGCTACAATATTCGTTTGAGTCAGATGGAAATATTTTTATGAGTGTGTGAGGGCAACAGAAAGTAAGAATATAACCTTAACAGTTTTATTGTGAAAATATGACAACACCCGATCTTAATGTAAACGTTAGTAGAGACAAAGACATCCTGCTCCCTCAGCACCATTATGAATAAATAAACTGTTTAATAGGAATTAGATTACGATAATTAATATATAATAAAACAACGTGTGTCAACTGAAGATCGACAGAAGAATGATTTATTGAACATAGACAAATACAATAACGCTTATTGACATGATTGCCACAAGATGGCTAGTTGTATCCATATTTTGATATCCACAACACTTCCCATTAAAATATGATCTATTTTAAACTATATAAATACTTAACATGAACTTAAAGTTAAAATATATTACACTCTAACAATTCCTAAAGCATTTACATGTTTATAATGTTTTACAACACTTAAGCTTTTGGTAAATAAATCTGCAGGCATATCAGATATACACAAATAATTAATACTAACAATGTTTTTATTTATAATATCTCAGCAATAGTGATACCTGACATCCATATGTTTAGTTTTATTATGGAATACTGGGTTCAGTTATAATTTCTGAGCACTCATACTGTCATTATACGAGTACAAAATAATAGTATACATTCTACAAGTCACTTCATTTTGTAAGTTTCTCAAATACACTGCTTCTTTGCAGGCTTCTGATTTTGACACATTTTCAGCTACAGTACTAGAAAGTGAAATACATTTTTGTTTGCTACAATTCCAGGATATAACTGATCCTGACAAAATATAACAAAACCCTGAATATGATTTACTGTCATTAACATCACTGCTCCAGTCCTTATATCATTATAACATATCTTCTACCTGGCAATTTCCCAGCTATAGCCAGGGTCTGCCTATATCATTATAACATATCATTATAACATATCTTTCCTTATAACATATCCTTCAATATTATCATTTTTATTCTTACTACATTTCAAACCAAATTTTATGTTTTCTTTAAGTATATATAATATTCTTTTAGCCTAAACCCAAAGCTCTTCACTAATACAGTTATTGAATTGGATTAGGTATTAGGTAGGATCTTCAAACTGCCTATAAGTTGTTGATAAGGATTCTGATTATTTATTTATTTAGGCACACAAACAGAATATAATCCGGATTACATTTGAGTTACAGTCTAAAATTATATTTAGCTTGATTATATTCCCAAGCATGTGTACACTTCATAATCATTACAAAACCAATATTTTTGTCAGGAGCTACATTATTTAGGTACAATTTAATGAATAAATAGGAACATATAACTTAAATTCAATTACTTAGTTGTTGATACAAAAAAAACATTAACGGACATTACAAATTAGTTTAAATTACATTCACTGAGTCAACAATAATATAAATAGGAGCAAAAGAGACAGATACAGTCAATTAAGATTGTGTAACAAGTATAATTAAAAAAAAATAAAATTAAAGAATTAAATTAAAAAATTATAATAATAAATAAATTGTCAAAATTAAAATATAATTCAATAACAACTACATGGCAATAAACATAAGAAAAAAAAAGTCATTGGAGAGTAAATCATTGAATCGTCAATATAATAAGCCTTACCCTATTTTTAAGCCTTGTAAAATTGGGATCAAATATATCTAACATGTCACTGTGTTTTGAAAGTAAATCATTGTATGTACGGCAGTCTAATGATAGGGTTATAATATGATGTATTACTAATGTGAACGCTGAGGACGAAGGTATTCAAATGTGGATGTTGAGATCTAAATTTGATGTTAAAATGAATGAGTGATAATAAGGCAGATAGGTCGATTCTAGAATGAATTATTTTGTGCCATGCATAAAGTTCAATTCACATATGTCTTTATTTTAGTGTGAGCATATTAAAATAGTAAAATTCTATCTTTTAAGAAATATTAGATTTCTCAGAAGACTAATTTTTCTTGTAAATCCAGAGTCATAAAAGCTGAAGGTATAAAAGCTGAAAAAAATTGATTCATTACTGGGAAAACCATAAAAACAGCCCTTTTCTATTTCCCATACAAACGTTTTTTTTACATTAGATTTGACAACTAATATGACAATCATTCTGTCGAACTTCAAAACACGGTGATTTATGGCTTACAAGTAAACTCCAAAAATATAAATAAAAAAACGTAATAGATATTTCTTGATTATAGGGCGATACGAAGTTCGCCAGGTCTTCTAGTATTTAATAAATATTGATTAATTAGTTTACATTCCGCGAAATGTTGCGTTTAAGGAACGTTGGAATTACTGAACTTGAATTTCACTAGCAACTCTTTTATCGTAATAGTATTATGTATTACTGTGAGTTATGTATTTTAAAACAGTCAACATGAAGATGAACTTAAAATTTTTTACTCATATAAATTTTTGTACTACTTCTATATTGTCGACGTTTATTTACATGCTGAAAAAAAGAGCGTGGGAATTGAAACGTTGACGCGGGCTTTTTAAAAGGGCAATGTCCATTTTTGGCCTAGCGTGAACAAGCTGCTATCAAAAAACAAGTTTATGAAAAAAAAAAATATTTTTTTAGCTAGCCATTCTATTGTTGTTGGAGTGTACATTTGTATTTTATTGAAAAAATATTTTTAAAGTATCTTCATTGATTTGCTTTATTGATCCACGTTTTGTGTTACCTGCAAGATCTCGCAGTACTTAATACAACTATAAGTATTTAATAAAAAAATATAATATTTGTTTTTAATTAGTTTCGTCATTTAAAACGTTTTATAAACTGAAATATGAAGAATGTTAAACATAATCATATTTGTTTTCGATCGATTTTTTAATGATGTTTTTCTATTGCAACACTAATAAAACGAAAAAATACATATTGACATTGATATGTCACAGACTGATTGTTTACATTCGCTTTGTTTACCTATATACATTGAGAGTGTTGATTTATTATGGATTTTCTTTCAACGATTGTTTATTCATTATGGGCTCCGACCTATCTTTTTCCAATGACCCCTGCACATCTACGGACCCCGAATTTCGCTCAAACGATGACCCTGGCTTTTGTATTATGGACTCTGATCAAGGCATAAACGATGAACAACACTCACGTAATATGGACCCCGAAACTAGCTCCATCGCTAACCACGGCTTTAATATGGACATTGAACAAAACCAAAGCGTGTCTCATGATAGTCTGCACACAGAAGAAGTGACTTCTTACCAATCCGTATCTCTGAGATGCATAAACTGTGGAAGTGATTTGATAGAGAGAAGGCGACATAGTCTAGATCTTAATTAGGTTCAGTCTATTATAAGACAGTGGATAGCTCCTCGACGAGTAAGTGTCAATTTAATTAATTATTTAAATTACTCGTTTTTTAATAGATATGTATTGTATATGCTATTCCTATAATGCAAAATGAGGTTTTATTGTTTTATATAATTATAATCCATAAGGATTAAGTATATAAATACTGTTGTATTATAATAAATGAAAAGATGTTTACTCCTAACACATTAGCTGACTTTGTTATCGAAAATAATTTAAATAGAAGGCGGGCAGATTTTCAACCTATAAATGTAAACATGTATAGTTTCATATTTCCAAGAATAGAATATAATGATCTTATATTAATTGCATGTGGAACATACCAACTAAAACAAGCTTGTTTGTATTACAGGCAGCACATAAGAGGCGAAGGTTCCTATACTTTAGAAAAATGTAGAAATATAGCCAGCGACCTATTAGTTGACTACCTGATTCCTTTGGCCAACTGCAGATTATTGCATGGAAAAATACAAAGCAGGCATGTAAGTCAAAAAATATATTTTATATATACAGGGTGACTGGTGAATTACTATTGATATTTGAGGACGTGATATTTGACGATCATATATGACAAAATAAAAATTAATATAACATAAATATTAATAAACTTCTAAGTAAAGTCAACCAAAAGTTATGTAAATAATTACGCATCGTATGAACACCCTACAGATTAGGTATACACACACACACACACACACACACGTGCGGCGGCGTGTTGTTGTATCAGCACGCCGCCGCACGCGTCCACACTTGGAACACTTGGAACGTGTACACACTTTATTTATTTATACGGAAATTTGGTCAAAAATTAAGTACCTATTTTTTTTATATAATTCGAATGAGAATCATGTACCGAGTATGCTCTTTAAATATTGATAGTAATTCACCAGTCACCCTGTATATATTATATGATAATAATCACAATGGTAAGGAAGCTATAAAAGAATATTATTGTAATTGTATGGTTGGTCTAAGGACAGTGGGTTGCTGCGCTCATATAATGACTATTTTATGGTTTTTAAGTTGGGCAAGGTATCAGGAACACATTTCACCACCTGTCCAATTTCTTGAACACATATTAATAACATATGATGTCTCAGAATAAAAATAAATCATAAAAAATGTTGTTTTATTTTGCTTTAACCTGTTTTTCCTCACATGACAAAAATCTCTTTTTAAACATTTTGATACAAAATTAAGTTCATATTCTCATTATTACTAGTTAGTGCTTTACTAACTACTACTTTAACTAATTACAAAAAATATGATAAAATGGCTGTTCACGTCAGGCCA